AGCTTGAGGCTCTGTCTCAAAAAAAAAAAAAAAAAAAAAAGATGAGATCATCTTGGAATTAGAGTGGACCCAAATCCAAGGGCAAGTGTCCTTACACAGAAGAGGAGAAGGCTCAGAGCAGCACAGAGAGGAAGACCACGTGGAGCCCTAGGCAGAGCTGGAGCCAGGCATTTACAGGCCAAGGACCACCTGCAGCCCCTAGAGCTGGAGAGGAATTCAGAACAGATTCTCCCTCATGAGGAACAAGCCCTGCCTGTGTCAAGGCCTCAAACTTCTGTGCCCCAGATCTGTGAGAGAGTAAGTTTCTGTGATCTTAAGGCACTAGTCTGTATTGTGCTACAGCAGCTAAGGGGGATTCACAGCTTTGAGTAACAGGGAGCTTGCCTGTTCCTGGGGGTGCACAGGTGCCCAATGGGCCGGCCCAGATGGGCAGTACTGAAACCTGGACCTCATGCCCAACATGGCCTATTCCTGGGCCTAGGCCTCACTCAGCCAAGGGAGGAACCCTCCCTGAGCTCCCTGTGTCCTGTCTTCATTGCCCAAGCCCCCTGCATGCTTCCTAGCTGTGCGCTGTGCCTGCCTGCTGGCCCTTCCTCATGTCGGCCCCCCTTGCACGTGCTATTCCCTCTGCTGGGATGCCCTTCTCCCCTGTGAGTCTGGCAGAGCTCAAGTCATTCTAGCCCCAGCTTTGATTCATATCCTCTACAAGTTGGCCTTCTTGCTTCCCTCCAAGGTGTCCCTACTGAGGTCAGAGGTGTTTTCAGTGGCAAACTCACTGTCACCCTGTTCTTGCCCATGGAGATGTTAAGTCAGGGCCTTTTTAGAATCCCCAAGCCACCAATTTCTGTAGCCCTAGCTCCCGGCAGAGCCTGGAACACAACAGGCACTCAGCAAGTGCTTGGTGATTTAATTAAGTGAACATTAATGAGCAGGCAGGACCTCCCCAGCCTGGACCCAGTAGCGGCCTTGGACGAGGTGCTCAGCGCATACGGTGGATGGGGTAATGAGCTCTCCGTCACAGGAAGTGTGCAATTGCAGTTGGGGCTTCTTTTCGCTGCTGACCCAAGAGAACCAACCTGGGAGAGGAGAGGGCCTCACTGTAGTTTGTGTTGGGCACGAATAGCCCCCCAAGACAGCCCCAAGGGGAGGGGCCCCCTGGAAAGGGGCTTGGCAGCTGTGACAGGGCTCAGGCTGCTCATGTCGGGGCAGGCTGCACAGAGCAGGCCCAGCCACTTCTGGTGCCAACAGCCCACCCGCCCCTCACAGGGGCCACCTCCTCCCCTTAGCCCGGCCATCAGTGTTTAGGAGACAGGAACGAGGCACAGACATGTAGGCATCTGAACCCGGCCCCAGCCCCAGGTGGCAGCCCCTGTAGGCCTTGGGGCTGTCTCAGGCTCTCCTTTCCATGGCCCCAGTAGGCACTAAGTGAAGGGCTGGCTGCACTTGGGAGATGTTTGAAGAAGCCCTGGAACTGCCTTCCCCATGAGGGTCCCACTAGGGTGACTCAGAGCCTGGGGAGGGTGGAGTCTCCTTTTTCAGAGCCAGGCCCGGGCCCCAAAGACCTGGGGCCCTGGTTCTGATCAGGAGACCAAGGCAGAGGGGCTGGGACTAGCAGGTTGGGAACAGAACATTATCCTTCCTGGGCCCTCCTGGAACCCACAGGGGTCCAGAAACCCCCCAGCACAGGTGGCCCTGTGGTCCCCTGTCCCTGCCCCACATTCCTTGTGGGCCTATAGCCTTAAGCTGCTTACTGGGGCTGCCCCTGCAAACTGCTCGCTCCACATTCTCGGGGTGGCAGTGGGTGGGGTGTGGCGGCAGGTGGGGTGTGGCGCCCTCCCCAGAAGGAGGCCCCATGCAGCTGAGGGCAGCAGAGCCCAGGAGGGGAGCTGAGACTTTACCACTGCTGTCCTCATGGCCCACCTGCTTCTGCTGCTCCTGGGGCTCCTGGGGCTCTGGGGACTGCTCCGTGCCTGCACCCAAGATCCCTCTTCAGCCCCTCGGTGGCCCCCTGGGCCTCGCCCACTGCCACTATTGGGGAACCTGCACTTGCTGAGTATGTCCCAGCAGGACCGGTCACTGATGAAGGTAGGTTGGAGCAGCTTGGAGGGCTCTCTGGAAGAGGCAGCATTTGCCTACTGAGAGCCTACTGGAGAGCCAAGTGGAAGGGCCACAGAGAGGGAAGGGCCAGTGCTTTGGAAGGGTCTGGACACAACCTGGACAGGTGCAGATGTGCCCTGGGCAGGAGGAAACCTGCTGGGGGCCCCTCCCTTCAGGGGCCAGAGTTGAGGACAGCCCAGGGATGAAGCAGGGTATAGCCTGCCCTGTTGTGGTAGCCCACCCCTGTTCCCCACCATGGGTGCAGTAGACTACCCAGCTTCTGCCTGGACTCTGGGCCCTTCCCCAGAGAACTGCCAGGTCCCCAGCTGTAGCCACTGTTTCCCAAACCTCTGTTTGCCTGACTTCTGACCACCCCCAGGCCCTGTAGGTGGTAGGGAGGAGGCGGCCATCCTCTGGTTCCCGGGCAAGAATAGACCATGACCCACAAAGCTGCCTGGGCAGAAACAGCCCCTGCTTCCCTGGGACAGGCCTGCTGGGCCCCACCCAACTATAGGCGCCAGACTCAGGGGCACAGGTACTACCCAGGGCTGGGGCCCCTGAGGCCACCGCCCAGTGTGTGGAGGCCCAGGGGGCAGCAAACAAGCCCAGCTCCAAGTCCCAGCTCTGTACCTCAGCATGCATGTGTCTAGAGCTCACTTCCCACTTCCAAGCCCTGACCCCTCCTTCATAAAGTGGGGAGATGGCAACCCCTACCTGGGCCAGGATACTTTGAAGAAGACCCCAACGCTAACCCTTAGCCAGGCTACAGAGGGCACCCCTGATGTGGCATTACTGTTCTGAGTCCTCACTCCGCCAGGGATGGTCAGAGAGCAGGAACCAGCCCTGGGCCCTGCTCTCTGTGCAGACCCTGGCCTTCTGGAACATATCACCCACAAGATAGCTTTGCCACCTCCCCCCACCACCTGGTCTTGGGGAGTTTCTGCTGAAAAGAAACTCCCAGGGTGATACACAGTAGTGGCCTCTCCTGTTGGAACCGCGGGGCTTAGGAGCTACTGGCTGGACATCCCCCACCCCACCGAGACCCTGGGGGTGACGCTTCCTGTCCTCCACCAGCTCTCTGAACAGTATGGGCCCATCTTCACTGTGCACCTGGGGCGCCAGCGGATGGTGGTGCTGACAGGGCTGGCGGCGGTGAGGGAGGCCCTGGTGGGTACCGGGCAGGCGCTGGCCGACCGGCCTCCCATTGCCATCTTCCAGCTCATCCAGCAGGGCAGGGGTGAGTGTGCAAGGGGCTCTGCCTTGGGTGGGAAAACCCACAGCTCCAGCTCATCTCCAGGGCCTCCTGGGCTGGAGCTGGAAGGGACAGATGTCCACTCGGGCCAGGGTGTTCCAGGGATTTGGGGCTGGAGTCTTCCCAACCCTTGATGAGAAGGGCAGGGGCCAACGAAGGCCAACCTGGAGAGTGAGAGTAAGTGGGGCGAGGCTCTGCTGCCGTAGTCACCACTGACTCCCTGCAGGCACCCCGGGGGTCCACCTGGGAGGGACAGGGCTCACGGCATTCTGTCTGGCCCCTAGGGGTCTTCTTCTCATCTGGGGAGCGCTGGAAGGCCGCCCGCCAGTTCACGGTGCGCACCCTGCACAGCCTGCGTGTGGGCCGGGGGCCTGGGGCTGACAACATTCTACAGGAACTGAGGTGCCTGACAGGACAGCTGGACAGCTATCAAGGCAAGTGGGGAATAGGGATGCCCCTTCCTACCCTCCAGGCTTGTCACTCCAGGCCAGCCTCCAACTACCCAGGTCTGTGCCCACCCCCCCCCAGCCCTCACCCACCCAGGCCTGTTCCCATAGCTAGCCCTTCTCTCTGGCCCTGCTGGGCTCCCTGCGGCCCCCACCCACCTACGTCTGTCCCCCCAGGCCGGCCCTTCCCTCTTGCCCTGCTTGGCTGGGCTCCCTCCAACATCACCTTCGCACTCCTGTTCGGCCGGCGGTTTGACTACTGGGACCCAGTGTTTGTGTCTTTGCTGGGTCTCATTGACGAGGTCATGGTCCTCTTGGGGTCCCCTGGCCTGCAGGTGAGAGGTCACTGCCCCAGCCTCAGGGTGGGGTGGAACCAGGAGTTAAGTGCCCCCAAGACAGCCAGGAGACAGTCCTGGGGTGCCCTAGCATGTCCCTTGACCCCACTATGGTCTTGCTGCCTGTACAGAGTCCCTCATTCAGAGCAAAGGGCCTGAGCTGCTGTCTGTCAGACATTAACTGACCATATGCAATGAGGGCAACCTCTACCCTGTGCTCTCTGGGAAGAGAGGGTTCTGGAAAAGGGGATCCCTACCCATGTCTCCCTACCCCATTGGTAATAGGTGCAACTGCTCAAAGGTCAGGAGATCGGAAAGGCATTTCTTCCCCGGGACTATGGGCTCCACATGTCCTAGCCCTCAGCTCTGACAGCTGGGAAACCTGCCAGTTGTCATCGTCCCTCACAACGCCCCGGAATATTCAGAATTCCTGGATCCTGTGGTGTACATTTCATTCTTCAAAACTTAAAGTTTTGCTATTTTTAGCCATTACCACATTTAGCTATGCACTCGCAGGAACATACGTGTCTAGGTGTGGAGGCCATGGGGCTCTGTGCAGCTCCGCTGGGGCAGCCAGGTGCCACACAGAGGTGCCACACAGGATTTGCCACCAGCCACTGCCTGTGTCCCAGGGTGGTAGCTGGCATTCACTGAGCACATGCTGCTGATGCTAGATCCCTGCTGGCTGTTCAGATGGCCAAACTCACGATTCCTATTACATGCCGGGTAAGCTGAGCATGAAGCCTGCACACTGTCGTCTTCCACGACTCACTGCAGGTTCCAAGTCATTTCCACCGAGGAGGCTGCCTCACACCTCCACCACTCATTCTGTAGTGGAAGGGGCTCAGTGACAGGCAGCCACGATAACTAACCAGCCCACACCGACTGTGACTGGCACAGGTCCACCCCAGTGTGTCCCACAAGCATCCCCTCAAACATGGACTGAGGGTGTCCTTGGAACCCCTGGCCCCCCTGCAAGGCAGCACTCTCCCAGCTCATCCACACAGAGTCTGGGAGAGTGTGAGCCTCTGGACTTGTGAACACACCTGCTGGTGAACAGACTCGCCTCTCATGGGGGAGGGGCAGGGGCTATGCCTTCATCCCCACTCCACCCATCTCACACTCTGCCCTAGCTGTTCAACATCTACCCCTGGCTTGGGGCTCTGCTCCAGCTGCACCGGCCTGTCCTGCGCAAGATTGAGGAGATCCGAACCATCCTGAAGACACTCCTGGAGGAACAGCGGCTCCGCAAGCCCAGGGGGCACCCTGTGCAGAGCTACATAGACGCCCTGATCCAAGAGGGCCAGGTGTGGCAAGGCTGGGGTTCAGAGCCCTGTGTGGAGTCTGGAGGGCTCACCATGGGGGAGCAGGTCTGGGAGGGTCTGTGCTCGTCTGCACCAAACTCCCCTGCCTCCTAACTGAGGGGGCTCTCAGCTCCTCAGCTTCCTTGTCTGTGAAATGGGACATTGGTAGTGCCTGACTCACAGGGCAGTGGAAGGGTGGTGAGGTAGAACTCAGGGAGCTCAGGGGCACTCATCTTGCTAAATCTGTCTTCTTATTTTTATTTTTATTTTATTTTTGAGACAGAGCCTCCAGCTGTCCCCCTGGGTAGAGTGCCATGGCTTCACTGCTCACAGCAACCTCCAACTCCTGGGCTCAAGCGAGTCTCCTATCTCAGCCTCCCATGTAGCTGGGACCACAGGCGCCCACCACAACGCCTGGCTATTTTTTGGTTGCAGCCATTATTGTTGTTTGGCAGGCCCGGGCTGGATTCGAACCTGCCACCTTAGGTGTATGTGGCTGGCGCCTTAGCCGCTTGAGCCACAGGCGCCGAGCCAAGTCTGTCTTCTTAAGCCCAGGGTTGGGATGGGTTGTGAGATGTGGTTAACCCCCAGACCCTGCAGCCAAGCTCTGCCCATCTTCCCACCTGTGCAGGGGAAGGACCCTAAGGACCTGTCTGCTGAGGCCAATGTGGTGGCTTGCACCCTGGACATGGTCATGGCTGGGACAGAGACCACCTCTGCCACACTGCAGTGGGCTGCCCTCTTGATGGTCAAGAACCCAGATGTGCAGGGTGAGGCCCCTCACACGCTGGATAGCCCTCCTGCCCTTGCAGGTGGGGCCCCTGGGGCTGAGAAGTGCAGGCACCCACTGATTGGAGCTCACCCCTACCTAGGACGGGTACAGGAGGAGCTAGACCGTGTGCTGAGCTCCAGGAGGCCTCCCAAGCCAGAGGACCAGGACAAGCTGCCCTATACAAGTGCTGTGCTCCACGAGGTGCAGCGCTACATCACGCTCCTGCCCCATGTGCCCCGATGCACGACGGCTGACATCCAGCTGGGTGGCTACCTGCTCCCCAAGGTGGGAGGCTGGCTCATGCCTGCATACCCCCACTCATTCCTGATGGCCCAGGGCTCCTGTAGAGCAGGAGGGGGGTTCAGTCAGGGAGGCGGCTTTCAGCTGCACACCTTCCAACCAGCCCCACTGCAGAGCTGGGTACCTCACTGTGTCTGGGGTTGTGAGGTGGTAGCGTTGGTTCTTCTCTGTGGGTCCTGGGGGGGTCTTTGCTCTGTGTCCCAAGGTGGGGTCTTTTCTGTGTGTCCTGGCAGGCCTTCTCTGTGTTTTCTGGGGGATCTTCTCTGTGTGTCTTGAGGGTCTTATCTATGGGTCCTGGGGGGTCTCTTGCCATGTCTGGAGTCACATGGCCTCTCTGGTTCCAGGTGGGTCACTTGTGGTATGGTCTAACACAGGCATAGCAGCTGTGTCAGGAGCTGCCAGTCCCAGGTGTCTCCTCTGCATCCCTTACCCACAGGGCACGCCTGTGATCCCCTTGCTGACCTCAGTGCTCCTGGACAAGACACAGTGGCAGACCCCAGACCAGTTCAACCCGGGCCATTTCCTGGATGCTGATGGGAAGTTTGTGAAGCATGCGGCCTTCCTGCCTTTCTCTGCGGGTACAGCAGCCCTTGCAAATGCCCTGGGACACGTGGCCTTCTGGACTCCAGCCCCCAGACACTGGGGGCTGCAGGGGGTGTTTCCTCCCCCAGAAGAAGCAGGCCCATGCCCCCCAATTCCATGTTTCCTTTTTCCTTGCAGGCCGCCGTATCTGCGTCGGGGAGCGCTTGGCCAGGACTGAGCTGTTCTTGTTGTTTGCCGGCCTCCTCCAGAGGTACCGCCTGCTGCCCCCACCTGGGGTGAGCCCTGCCACCCTGGACACCACGCCCGCTGCGGCCTTTACCATGCGGCCACGGGCCCAGGCCCTGTGTGCAGTGCCCAGGCCCTAGGGTCACAAGCAAATGCCACAGACCAGACCCCTAGCAGCCAGGTCCCCCCAGCTCCAGAGTGCTCTCCAGGTCCCCGAGGATGAGCAGGCAGACCGCACCTCATCAGCCCTTGCTGGGCTACCACTTCACCCGTGGCCACCACAGGGCTGCATCTTCCAGGCAGGGCCACTCTGGCTGCAGATGGTGTTCACTGTGGTCAGAGCTGATCCCCAATGGGGGCTGGAATCACAGCCCTTATCAGAACACCAGGGGAGCAGGGGCAGCTCCTCCTTCCCTGACAGCCCCCTCCCAGGGACCACACCCCATGTGCTATAGATTCCTCTCCTTCCAGCTCTACCCTGGGGCAGCCAAAGCCTATGCAGAGATGGGTTCTCCAACTCCACTGTCCCTCTCGAACCCCCAGGCCCCAGGGACTCAGCACTTACCTCTAGCTACACCAGGCTTCCTCCCATCAGACCCCATGGGACCCCCAGACCCTGGTCTGCAGCACAGCCTCCCACTACCCCAGCTGTACCTCTCCCATCCCATCTAGTTCCCCACCAGGGCCAGGTCGGCCACACACCTCCACTTGGTTCCTACAGCTGGGGGTATGGGGTGATGTTAGCCAGAACTCGGCCCCACAGGGATACTGACCATGGCTCTGTGCTGGCCAGGCCCTGGGGGGTCCAGCTGGGTCTCCTGTAGGCCCCCCTCTATTCCTGAAGCTTCTGGGGGGCTGAACCAGGCGGGGGGTCTATCTGCAGTGCTAGGACCTCAAGCCAAGTCCCTGGGTGCTGCCTTGGCTTCTGTGGGCATACTGGGCACAGGGAGGCATCAGTCAAGCGTATTCCTCCAGATGACCCACATGCACCTCCAGGGATGACGCTAGAACCTGAGGCTCCCTGGTCTGTCCATCTGCTGGGGCACTGGAGCAGACCTTTCCACCATAGGTTTCACGCTACTGCCTGTAAAGTAGGTGATCACAACACGCTTTATGGGGAGGGTGGAGGGCACTGAGGCACCTCAGGCTGAGAACATCTGCCTGAAGGGCCAGTTGAGCACTGGGATGGCCACAGAAGGGGTAGCAGCTGCTATAGAGGAGAGGCCAGGTATAGTTCCTAACTCCAGTTCCCTCTGTGCTGGCCTCCCTAGGGCTGGGGCCATGGGTAGATCATGGGGGAACAGGGAGGCCCCAAGAAAGCCTCCAGCCCCTGAGCCGTGGGGCCTGGCCAGCACCACCACTCCCTGCCCAGGGGAAGGCCACAGAGACCCTTTGGTGGAAACTGGGCCAGACAGGGACGGCTGTCCCAGGAGGACCAGTTGAGTCTGGGACCCCAGTGGGGTGATGGCAGGGCTTGGGCATAAGGTAAGAGCAGGAGCTTGCTAGGAGGATGCTGGTCTTCATGGTGTTCAGTCACCCTCATGGGACTCTGGGACAGGAAACTGAGACCCAGACATGCCCAAAGCCCAGCAAAGCTTCCATTTTCCCAACCACACCCAAGATGTACACTTCTCGAGCATGGCCCTCTAAGGGACACATGTACCCAACACACAGTCTATCCAAAATCTGACATAACTGGGGTCTGTCTCATGTCTGGAAGCCTCCGTAAAACCAGCCTCTGTCCAGGCTATTGGCCCAGGGGTCTGGCTGGGTTTAGGCAGCTACCCCTGTAGGCTGTGTCACTGTCCAACAGGAATGGAGGCTCTGGGCTGGCCTTGGGCATTGGGTCAATCAAGTGAATAGACATGAATAACCCACAGGCTTCCATGTAGGAAGCACTGGAGCCCTGGAAGTAACTGTCTGGACTGCAGGGCTCTGGGCTTCTGTAGGAGGTGCAGCACCAGAGTAGCAACAACAAAAATGTGTCCTCACTGCCTTGATGCCCGCCAACCATGGTGCTGGCGACCAAGTAGGACAGATAGGGTCCCTGCCCAGCGTAAGCACCCACATGCATAGGGACACTGCACTCAGGGACAGTATGCTAAGTGGTCATGGGATCCCACTGGACAAAGTGATAATAAATGCCTGGGGCAGGAAGAGCAGTACATTTCCTAAGAGTCTTCCAGACCTGCTAAGTCCCTTTCACTGTGAGGATGGGAAAGGGGTGACTTGGGAGAGGAGGCTACAATCCTCTCATGTACTTCCAGGGAGGGACCAGGTGGTGGCTACTGGGCAGTGGTTTCATTGTTCTCTTTCTGGATGTCTGGAGTATCTGACAGCCCAATGTGGAGGGGCAGACAGGATGGTTGTGCAGTAGGAGCACCCTGGCCTCTCTCCCAGTGCCTAGTTGCACCTGGGTGAGCTGACAGATACTCCTCCAAGCGGAAGGGGACATTCCTGGAGGCCAGTGGCAGGAAAAACCTTCCAAGCTGTTGTTTGAAGAAAGACCCCTTGTTGACTCCCTGGGAGTGGGCTTTTGGGGAGGGCTTGGCCTGTTCTTCTGGCCTCTGCTGGGGACCCTGAGGGTGGGGCCGAGGACATCCCAGGGCCTCTCTGGAGAAGAAACTGGTCCTTTCTTGCCCTGCCTTATGGAGCCCTTTGTGAAGTGTTCTTGCAGGACGCTGGAGAGCACTGCATCTGTTGCGCACCTGGCACATGGTTTGAAGGGTGAGCACCTCCTCTGAGCCTTCACCTGGACCTTGTACATGCCAGGCCCAATTCACATGGCCTCCTTCCTTATTTTACCCCTGAACAAATGAGACCATGGGACTCCTTCCATGGGGTGCAGTGGGGCCCCCCAAATAAGCACCACCTGAAGTGTGAAAAAGCATTAACTTGGAAAAACAGTGTGAGCAGGTGCCAAAGCTTTATTTAAGTCATTCCTGTGGCATGAACAGGACACCACCATACCAGTTCACAAGAGAACATAGACTGGGGCGTGGGGGAGCTGGGAGGCTGGATGGGGCCCAAACCCTGGGGATCCATAGACCCAGCCACCTTTTCTGGGGCAGGACTGGGAGCTTGCCGCTTCTCACCTGGGCACGTGGGCTGGCTGAGTCCAGGGGACCTATTGGCAAAGGCTGTCTTGGCCTCATTGCTGAGTGTTTTTTTGTTGGTTTTCTTTTTTTTTTAATTATGATAAAGACGAGTTTACAGAAGGGTCTCACCCATGTTTAAATGCACAGCTCTGCGGCACTGAACACATCCACCGTGCTGTGCAGCCATTATCACCACCTGCACAACCTTCTCATCTTCCTGAACTGAGGCTCTGTCTCCATGAGACAACCTCAGCCCCCACCTCCGTTCTGTTTTCTATAAGTTTGACTCCTCTGGGGACCTTCTTTAAGTGAAATCACACAGTATGTGTCCTTTTGTGGGCTTATTTCTCTTAATATAGTGTCCTCAAGGTCCATCCATCTGCATGTAGTGTGTCAGAATTTCCTTCCTTCCTAAGGCTGAGTGATATCCCCTCCCCCCCACCCCCCTGTGCGAGTGGACCACATCGTGTTTATCCACTCCCCTGTCAGTGGATCATTTTCAAGTTCTGTAACCTGTGTCTTGCTGGCTGCATCCCGGAGAACCTGGTGGTGAGCAGTCTATATGCTCAGCATGGCTGTCAGGAGAAGCCTCTGTGGGCGTAGTGGGTGGGCAGACCAGCTGGAGGCCACAGCCCTGAGGACATGGGCAAACTGGCTCCCTGGAGGTGTCCTGACAGCTGCACAGAGGGGAGCCTACTGCTGGATCCCTGCCTCTGGGTCTCGAGGGAAGGAAACTTCTGGGTCTAGTGGGCAGCTCTCTTGGAGCCAGCTCTGCTTCCAGTTCCAGGGCTGGCCCTTAACCACACACGTGCTTTAGATTTTATCTCCTAAGTCAATGAAGAAACACACTCATGGTCCCTGAACCATAAACAAACTTTGAAGAACAAGCTCACAGGACTGGCTGGCCTTGGGTGGAGACAGTCTTCTTCAAATGGGAAGTCGTTAACCCTGGAGCTACTGCCCACCTGCACCCACAGGGCACACATGTGTAAGATAGGAGTCTCTGCTCAGGGATGAGCCGAAGCCCTGAAGCTCCTTCCAGCATGTAGGGCAAGGTCCCCTGTGGAGTTGGGACCCAGGCCCTTGGTGCTCCCAGGCCCTTGGTGCTCCCAGGCGACTGTGAAGCTCCTACAGCATGGGGGTCTTCCTCCTACCCTGATGGTGAGGGGCAGGGCAATGTGGCAGGAGGGGCTGGCTGGGTCTTAGGTGGGCAGAGGGGGTTGGATAGCTCAGGTGAGTGTCCCGGGACACTCCCTAGGCAGCCCTTACTGGGAATGCCCGAGGCAGACCCTATCACTGGCCACTTTGTCCCTCCCTGGACTCAGGCCTAGGTAAAATCTCAGGGAAGGCCTGGGGCATCTGTGGCCTGCACGGCACATCCCCCCATGTTTGGCCTCTCACTTGGCACCATCACTTGAGATCCTCCATGCTGTTGCAAGCCTCAGGAACTCTTCCCTTTGGACTTGGAGTAGCCTTCACTTTGGTTATCCATTTATCTGTTGATGGACATCTGGGTTGTTTCCAGTCTGGGGCCTTTCAAAGGGGATAATAACAGCCACTATCAGAAGTTTCGAGGCCGAGTCATCCACACACACACTGAGATGAACCACAGACTGACAGCTCTTCCCTGGCACATCAGCACAAGAGGCACAGAGGATCCCACGTGGGCTGTGTATGGATCTCACCAGAGAGTGTCATCTGGAGGGAATGGATTGGTCCTCTGCACTTGGTTCAAGTTAGGCCTTGATAACCTGTTTCTAGGTGACTTCTCCCTATCACCACTGCCAGGGAGCTGCTGTGCAGACTGGTACCTCACAACTACCTGAGGGAGGAATCTCTGTGCTAGAGTGAGGGAGGCTCAGGTCTCTAAGACCTTTCCTCACTACCTGACATTGACTTGGTACCCATCACATTTCCCTATCTGATTTGGCTGCCGGGAAACCCACAGTATGGTTCTTGATCCATTTACTCTGATCCTCTGAAAACTACATTCCCCCACTTTGTATTTTGCAGATCTTCTGTTGCTATCTACTTTGTCTTTAATCTTTTTTTTTTTTTTTGCGACCGGCAGTTCCATGCAAATTTCTTGGTGCCTTTATTTACAATGCCTCAAGGCTTGGGAACAATTAAGCACCCTCTTAACTGCCTGAAGTTGTCCTCCTTGGCTCTGACTCAGGTAGCACCTTCTGCAGGGGCTCCCTGCAGAACTGTGATGCCAAGACCTGGGACTGCAAACAGAGCCTCAGTCATCCCCAGGTCTGTGCTGTGCCAAGTGCCTTTCTGCCTGAGATCCCATCTGGATGCCTCATATACCATCTCCAGTGGCCACGCAGGGCCACAAGTCATGACCACACAGAGCAGGACCTGTGTGAGAGGACACAGCCAGGTGGAGTGCAGATGAGAGTTGGGGAACATGACATGACCTCCTTCTAGGGTCCCTTCTGAGTCTGGGGCTCTATGAATGAAGGGAAAGGGACCCACCTCCCCGGCTCCGGTCCCCTCTTGCCCTCACTATGGGCATCTTAGGGCAGCTATATTGAAGTAATGGCAGACACCTAAGGGTTGCAACCCTGGCTGGGGACTCTGTTGCAGTGAAAATGCAAGAGGGTCATGGCTGTGGAGGCCCCACCAGGATGGAGACAGCCCCAGGAAGCCTGAGGCCTCTACGTAGAACCAGAGTCCAGAGCTAGTGCTTCACTGCACTGCGACCAGCACAGAGCAGCAGCTCATTGAGTGTGCACACTGCCCTGTCCCCACTCCCCAGCACTGGTGCCCCGAGACACTCTTCCCCTAGTTGAGGCTTGGTGGGGACAAAGGCGATAACCCCACAGGCAGCTTCCCCTACCCCCACCCCCCGGTGCCTGGGGCATCCTCATGACATGGCGGCAGGTCCCAGATGCATCTCCCTCTGCTCCCACACAGGGGTCACTCAAACCTCTGCCTAGGCTAGAGACTAATCTAGGTTCACAGGGAGGAAATAAGACTCTGTCTCCTGTGGGCAGGGCATCGACAACTGGGCAGAGCTGTTAGAAACAGCCACGCAGATCTACCACCTGGGCTGGAGCCACGGGCCCCTCTTATTCAATGAAGAGGCAGCCTAGCTTCAGCCTCAGCCCTCCCCTAGGGCCTGTCTCAGATCACACAGCCCATGCCTCTCCAACTGTGACAGCATATCCTGTGTCACTCAGACTGTGGGGTGACCACATTCTCTCAGGAACAGGAAGAACGTGGTAATGGCAGGTAGGCTGGAGACCAAGAGACCAGTCACTAGATGTTCAGGATACAGTCACAGCATGGGTGCACTGAAAAAAGCACTTCACAGTCCACAGAATAAGAGCCACAGCCTGAAAGGGGCTTGTTTTTATTGAAAATATAGCCAGCAGAGTCCATTTGTGCATATGGGCACATGGTCTGATGTGTACAGCCTCCAACAGGGCTCTCCCTGTGACAAGGCAGTGAGGCCAGGCACTGCTGAAGGAGAGGTGGTCGTGCCACAGCCAAAACGTACGATGAAGCAGGCAGGGGCCAGGAACACATGGCTTACATGGGGGCCACCGGGTAGAGTATGAGGACCACAACCAAACTCTGCTCAGCTTCTAAAATATCCATCCTTGGTAGAAAAATAGACATTCCCCTCAAAAATGATTTCCTAGGCCTGAGGACCATCTGAAGGCCAGGACTGGTGTCTCTGGGTCATTTCAGAGTAACATCTTCTGCTCTACAGGTATCAAAACCTGTTATCATCTATAAAACTGTCTTTGGCCAAGCAGGGTGGAGGAAAGGGTCCATCACAGTCTGTGGAGCTGGAAGGCTCAGGCCTGGCCCAGCCCAGACCTGCTGGTGGTACGGATTGCCCCACCAGCATGGACCCCATGAGGAGGTGGTCCAAGACCTGCCCCGAGCAGGGTCCTGTCATACCACCTGCTGCTAGGACAGCAGCTGCAGCACCTGCCGGGCACGCTGGGCCTTCTCCAGCAGGAGGGGGTCTGGGTCCCTGGCGCCCACCTCATCCAGCTCTTGCATCAGGGCTTCAGCCTTCTGCACTGTCAATTCTCGGGCCCTGCCCTGAAGGCCCTCCAGGTAGGCCAGCAGGGTGGGGAAGTGCTCATTGGGTACCTGGGTGAGGAAAAGACCAGAGTCAGTGAGCGATTCAGGCAGCACAGGCCCCAAGGCACCTGGCAGGGAAGCTAGGTTTTGCCTCTATACCCATAAAGGGACCAGCCAGGGGGCTGGATAAGGGCTGAAGGAGTGTGGGTGGTGGTGGCAGCACACTATGTCAGGCCTCACAGGACACCAACAGAGCTGTCTACAAAGGGCTGTGTGCCACACCTGCTTCCACTGCCAAGGACAATAGATTGGGGATGGCAGGACAGGGACCAGCCTGCTGGGATGCCCCTTCCCAGTGCCTTGGCCATGTCCTTCTCCTTCATAGATCTCAGGTGCTCAATCATGTTAACAAGGCTGGCACCTGATGCCTCTGGATCAACACTAAACAGGTATGAGTTTACAGAGGTATATCTGTGAGGACAAAGAATGTGTCGCCAGATAACAGTGGCAACATCTGGGGGGCTGGGACACAGAAGAGAGGAAAGATAGCGACTGAGTAGATCTGAGAGGTGATGCATAGGCCACCAACGTGGTGAGCTCTGAAAACTGAAAACCAAGAAACACTGCCTGCCTTTTGCCCTCACTTGAAGATTCCAGAATTGGCTGTGCCAGTTACTTCTAGAAGTGAGAGTAAAGATGGGGCTGAAGATAGGAGAAGTGGCTAAAAGTCATATAAAAAGCCATTTAAAAAGCAGCCAGCAACTCTCAGGTCTTGACTTCAGAACCTACCACAAAGCTAGGGTGACCAGGACGGCATGACATGGGTGCAAGGGCAGAATGCAGAAGAGTGGAATAGAATAGAGCCCAGAAGTCGGGCCCTATGCCACGTGTGAACAACTGGTTCCCAACGAGGTCTGAGACCACCCGTGGGGAAAGGAGTTTCTTCAGCTGGTGCTGGGACAACTGGACGTGCGCATACAAAAATATGAAGATAGATCCTTGCCTCGCACAATCGACACAAAATGACTCAAGATGGATCAGAGATGTAAATGAAAGCTAAAAGTGTCAAACTCCAAGAAGAAAGTACAGACATGAGTCTTCACGGCCTCGAGTCAGGCAGTGGTTTCTTAGACATGACACTAAAAGCAAAAGCAACAAAAGAAAAAATAAATAAGCTGGACTTCATCAAAATTAAAAACTTTATATAGCATGTGAATTAGATCTCCATTTAAAAAATAATGCAGTTGGTTTTTAGCTCTCTTACCCCAGCATGAGCAAAACAGTGCTACTGACCCCTAGCCACTGAAGTCAGGCTGAGGGGCTTGTCCAGGCAGGGGCATCAGCCCAGCCCAGGAGTCCAGGTGCCAAGAGAGGCAACATGCTGGCACTGAGTTGTCTCCAACACTTTCCCTGCTGGCTCCTGGCAGGTTTACAGCCATACCTGTGCCCTCTCAGCAAAAGTATTTATTCTTTTGCAAAATCTGAAGAATACATGAGAAAAGACTCAAAGATCGGGTCCCGGAAGGACAGTCCAGAGCCATCTGCCCACCGTGAAGCACACGGCTGGCTGCCTATGCCCACCTGGGCTGTCACAGGTGCACTCACTTAGCACAGGTGGTGGGCCTGCCAGAGCAACCTGGATAAAAGAGAAGCCACATAGGAAGAAAAAGAAAATTTCAAAAATGTATCATGACTATCCTTGGAAAAATGAGAATATACCTTACCCTTATACAATAAATAAAAATAGGTTGTCATAAAAAGTACACTTAAAGAAGAAAAAACCTCCATATCCCTGTCACCTTTTGATTGGGGCCAGTGTGGTGGTGTCAATTGGCATCTCGGCGTGGTTTGGTTTGCAGCCCTGATGGCTAATGATGCTGAGCTTCTATTCATGTGCTCACCGGCCATGTGTACATCTTCTTTAATGAAATGTCTATTCAGATCCTTTGCCCATTTTAAAATCAGGCTGCCCTTTTATTATTGAGTTAGAAGAATTCCAATTTGCTCTGTGATTTGTAAGCATCTCCTCCCATGCTGCTGTCTTTCGACTTTCTGGATAGTTTTGTTTGCAGCATAAAGTTTATGTTCTGACAGTGTCCTAGGTAATGACTTTTTTTTGTCACTTGTGCTTTGGGCAACATATTTAAGAAAACATTGTCTAACCCTAAGGTCATGAAATGTACTCCTATATTTTCTCCTAAGAGTTTAGTTTTAGCTTTTCTTTCTTTATTTATTTTTGAGACAGAGTCTTGCTTTGTTGCCCTTGGTAGAGTGCTGTGGTGTCATAGCTCACAGCAACCTCAAACTCCTGGGCTTAAGTGATTCTCTTGCCTCAGCCTCCCAAGTAGCTGGGACTACAGGCATTCACCACAATACCTGGCCATTTTCCTGTTGCTGTTGCAGTTGTCATTGTTGTTTTAGCTGGCCCAGGCTGGGTTTGAACCTGCCAGCCTCGATGTATGTGGCAGATGCCTTACCCACTGAGCTACGGGCACCAAAGTTTTGGTTTCAAAAACAGCAATGTATGAATAAAACCATGTAAAGTTCTGTTAAAATAAAAAGTGGAATTCTAGTAGCCCCAGCCTTTGTCTCAAGACTTCCCAACCGAGTGGTCTCAGCACCCTCGGGTCTACCTCTGGGCTGTCTCTCAGCCTGTGCTTGACACACTGTCCTCGTCACTGCAGCTATGCAACAGGTCTAAAGTCAGAAGTGTACAACCTTTAACTTTTTCTATTTCAAGATTATTCTGGCTATTTTATACACTCTCAAAACAAGAGTGGGCTGCAGTCTGTGCCTGGAATGTCCTGGCTCAGTGTGCCCAGGGATGAGCTACCAGGTGTATTTGCAGACATAGGCACGTGGGAGAGTACCATGAACCACTGCCCCTGGACCCCATCAACATGCATGCCGAGTATCCCCAAAACCTGGCATCTCAGGAGAGCTGGAACACAGAGCCTCAGCAGAACCTTGGGCTGTGCAGCCTTAGAGCAGACATGGCAATTCCAGTTCCGTCCCAGCTGTTGGGTTTTGTTGCTAAACTCTCTCCATGAAATCAAATCTTAAACCCTGTCCCTGAAAAGAAGCACTTCTGCACAAAGGCAGCACATGCAGGGGTAGGTGGCCTCCAGGTACTTGGCTCCACCACAGCCTTTGGTTTCAATAACAGCAATGTATAAACAAAACCATGTAAAGTTCTGTTAAGCTTTATAGAAGCTGTGGTGGAGCCAGAGCCAGCTTCACTTCCTGGCATAACACGCCAGGGGAGACCAGTCACCCATGGCACCCTCAGTACAATCCTTCCCGGCTGCAGCCTCTGCTCTCAGGCCCCCAGTGGGCACAGACCTTGTCGCTATTATACATGTGCAGCAGGAGCCATGTCTGTCTTGTCTTCTGGAATCTCCAGTCCTTGTGCTTCTGGGCCCACCTGGGAAAACAAGACAAACATCTCAGGGTGCTGGGGGCAAGAATCCACAATCTGGCCGTGCTTACCAACCAGGGGCCCCTGCAGATGCTGAACACCAGGCTGTAGGTGTTTTGTGAGGAGCCACTCCCCTGCCTGAGGGCAGCCACAGAGCAGAGTCATAGCAAGTTTCCCAGGTAGGGAACACATCACCTGTGTGTGCTGTGGACTCCCTCAACCATTCTGGGCGTCCACAACTCTGACAGGATCAACTGAGGACCAGAAGGGGCCCTAAGACCATCTTCTTCCAGCCCCATGATCCCATGACTCCATGACTTGACCCTAATGTGAACATTCTCTTTCATGGACTCAGTCCTTCTTCAGGAAGCATCTGTCGCATGCTGTGGTGGAACCCTATTGTGAGGCATGCCCAGGTGTCAGGTTTGGATCATTGTGTGGTCCCTCTACCTGACTGCACCTGGCTGAGAGGCTGTGGGTCTGCCTGGGTGGACTGAGCACCCAAAGCAATGTCTCCTGCATGACCCCAGGCTGGGAATGCTCAGGTCCAATCCCTGTGGTCAATGCAAGTGAATGGGTCCTGGCAACAAATGTCCTGAAGCTATAGGCCAGGTCAGTAGATTCAGGGTGAAGGCCAGGGGTCTGCGTGTGTCACACATAGAGTGGGGCCAGATCCCCTCCTCCTACCAGAAGACCAGGCCCTGCCTTCTCTCTGCATCTTATGGATGGAATCTATGCTGAAAGTGGCCATAGGCAACTACTGGCTGTTGAGAGGAAGGAGAGGGCAGTGGCTCTGGCTCGTCCTTAATCCTGCCTGTCCTAGGCATTTAGGGAGAACTAGAACAGCTAGGCCCAGAGGCACCAATAGGTCACCTCTGTCCTAGGCAGGTGGGGATGTTGACAGGTGGCTGCCTACCGAGCTTCCTAGTCTACTTGCTCCTCTGTGCAGGAGCCCAGCCCATATCCAGGCCCCAGGTGTCACACCTGTACCCCTCAAGAGTCCCTCCCACCTGTGTTTTGTGGTGTCTATTTTGGAGGAGTAAGAGCAGCATGGATGCAGTGGCCGCACAGCCAGCACCATCCCCAGGACCTCCTGGGCAAGAGGAGGTAGGGGCAAGACAGAGTCAGTCCCAGCCTAGTGTCACCCCATGGTACATGCTATGCTGGGACTGTAGTAGGCACCTATGTGCTGAGCTGAGCTCCTCTTATACAGGTGGACAGGACACACAGACACATATGTGTCTAATCAGTGCCATGACCTATGGATTATTCTACTAGGGTTAACATATGCTTCACAAAATTCACCACCCTTACCATGTCTAATTCACAGCTTAAAGGCATGAAGCACATTCACACTGTGGTTGCCTGGTCACACCCCTCCCTCTGTCTTCCCAGATGAAACTCTGCTCCAGTGAACAATAGCACCCGCCCCAACTCTGCTTCTGTGGGCCTGCTCTGGATAGTCCACAAAGGTAGACTCGCACACTGTGGGGCCTTTTGCTGCCTGACTTGTTCTGAGGCAGCAGGCTAGGTGGGTCCAGGCTGTGGGAAGGAAGTTAGAGGGGGGCCCTGGCTGAAGAGCGTTGGACCTGGGGCTCACCCTGGAACAGAGGTGGAGTGGAAAAGGCACAGGCCAGAAGGTCTGCCGAACAGGCTACACAGGGAAGCCACATAGCAGGCAGGGGTAGATTCCAGGATTCACCTCAGTTTGGGGATAGAGGATAAAAAGGCCAGGGAGAAATCATGAGATCAGACCTGCAGTGTGAGTGTCTGTGGTTCAGAAATAGGGCATTGGGGGAGGAGCTGAGCTGGGAGTTAGTGCTCAGGGAAGTGCCCTAATTGGGGCTGTGGATTCTCTCTGCAGACCGCCCTTACATCTGGGCTGTTTTATGAATAAAATTTCTAGCAAATCCCCTTGTGGGTCTTCTGACCAGTCTTCCTCTCCTAGGTCATTCTCTGACCTGAGTCTAGCACCACTAACCTTGGACATCTGGGTGTCTTCCAGTATGTTCTTAATCTTGGGAGCTGTGCTGAGTCCTCTTGGAGGTGGAGGGTGGAGGTCACAGACCAGGACTGTAGCCGAGCTCTATGGGCGTGAATGTCCCTGAGCCTCACCCTGATGGCTCCAAATGGCCTGTTCTGCCTCTACTCCACGGATGCTCCTAAAACAAGTGCCACCTCCACTTTGTGTAGGCTCCTATTAGGATCTGGCCTCAGGCCATCTGCAGGGGCAGCTTCCTGACTCTGAAAGTCCTGCTAGGCAGGATTTGAGCCTATCCCAAACCTGGGCCAAAGCTGCCTTCCTCCCACAGGCCTACCTGTCTGCACCTAGCCTGACCTCTGAGAGCCTCCTCTGAGGGTTCTAGGAGGGGATGGGAAGGCCCAGCCCTTCCTCCTGGTTGTTGGTTCCGGGAAGGGCCCCGTTTCTTTTTGCTTGGTTTGCCAGGACAGCCTCCATAACTGCCCAGATGCTGAGGAACACAGAGAAGGGAGGGCCCAGGCTCTCTGTTGCAGCCCAAGTTCATAATAACAGGGTCCCGATTACGAGGGGTTCCTAACACAATACAGTCCAGGGCCAGCACAGGCTGCTCATCCTTAGCTCCGAGAAGGCAGCAAAGGCAAGAGTTGGAGCCAGAGGGATGGAGAGGGCTCTGGAAAGCCCATGTCCAGCCTTGGGCCAGCTAGCAGGCTGACTTCTCAAGGAAATCATCCCCCAACTTGGAGAACCCTGGAGGGCTTCTGGCTTACCACTCATGTGAGCTGTCCACTGTGGGGTAGTTGCACCCTGAGTCTATCACAGACTCAGAGAGGAGCCAAAGGGGGCTGGGCAGCTGCCTACTAGATTCTCTGAATTGAGGATTTAAATCTGCACCAGGATACAAATCAAAAGCACAAAATACCACTCACAGCCACTAGGACAGCCATAGTAAAAATGTCAGATGCTAACAAGTGACCCGCATGGTATGGAGAACCCTCTGCTGGTGGGAATGTGCAGTGGAGCAGCTGCTATGAAAAAAGCCTGCAGTCCTCTAGCCTTCTAGGAGTCCTCAAAAAAAAAGCCTGCAGTCCTCTAGCCTTCTAGGCGTTACTGTAGCCCGCGGGCCGCGCATGTAACATTTATCTGGCCTGCTGGGTGTTTTTGCCACTGCTGCCTGTCCTGCCAACAGCCGACTTGTCCTGGGGCCCGCAGTCTGGCCCTCCAATGGTCTGAGAGACAGTGAACTAGCCCCCTGTTCAAAAAGTTTGAGGACTCCTGCGATAGTTAGCAAACAACTCAGGAATTCCACTTCTAGGTATGTGCCCAAGAGAAGTAAAAACACATGTCCACACAAAACCTGTATGCATGTTCACAGTAGTACTATTCATCCTTTCAAAAAGTGAAAACCCCAAAGTCCATCAGCTAATGAATGGATAAATAAAATATGCAACATCCATACGTGAAATATTATTCAGCCATAAAAAGGAATGAAGTCCTGGCATGTGGTACAACTTGGATGAACCTTGGAAACATTATGCAAAGTGAAGGAAGACAGAAGCAAAAGATGACATATTGTGTGATTCCACTTAACTAAAATGTCCAGAATAGGCAAATTCATACAGACCGAAAGCAGATGCTTGGGTACCAGGGGCTGTGGCAGGGCAGAGGAACAGGAGTGGCGATAGCTAAAGGGCACAGAGTTTTTTTCTGAGATGACAAAAATGTTTGAAATTTGGTAGTAATGATGGTTGCATAACTCTGTGAATATACTAAAAACCATGGAATTGTATACTTTAAATGGGTGAATTTTATGGTATGTGTATTATTATCTTGTAAAACTGTTATAAAAACAATGTCCAAGTGTACAGGTCCATGGCTGGGATTTTAGTACCAGTAGGGGTGCTTTGGAAAAAGTACCTATTTCTTGGTAAGTCCTATTGGAATACATAACTTTTTGCAAACAAATTTGTAATTTCACTGCAATCTTATTTTCCTATGAATCTTTAAAGATCTTATAGAAAGCTTTCAGCTAATTATTCAGTAACCAGGCTAGCCTCTGCCCAGCTCTGGCTGGGTCCCCTCTCTCATGGACTGTTAGCTCAGTGGACTCCTGACCTGCTCTCCTGGGCATGAGATGGCCATGCAGGACCCAGGGTCTACCTTCTCTCAGTGACTCAAGTCTCCCCTTCTCCCTTCAAACTCACCCTACACAGGCCTTGGCCCAGCATCCCTGAAGCTGTCCCATGCTGTGACCCTCCTCCCAGGATCCCCCCACCTCATAGCCTGTGCACAGATGCAGCTGCCTACCCTACTCTACCTGTGACTCCCTCATGGGGCACTGGTCTCTCCCACTCGATCTCCCAACTCCCTGTGGTCCTGCAGTCTGTCTGTGAGCCCCCACCCAGCAAAGTGAGCTACCAAGAGCACAGGCATGGCTCCTTCCCTGATGGTGTCTGTAAACTGAATGACGAGCAAAAAGCCCCTTCACAGTCAGGTTGGCTGGTCTGGGCGGGCTAGACTCTGAGGTGGGCACCTGGGCCAGCCCATAAGAGACTGTGCATGACCAGAAGTCATTGTCCTTGCACAGATGGCTCTGCTGTGGCTTCTGAAAGGATCTGCAGGAGCGGCAGGAGTGGCAGCACAGGCCTGGGGCAGAGCCATCCCCCCCATTGCTCTAGAACCTCACACAGAGTATACTGCTGACTGTGTACAGCTCCCAATCAGCACACCCCAATTTCTGTGGTATAAGCACTCCCAATTAGTGTTAGGAGGCACAGAGGTGCTGGCAGTTCTCACCCACAGAGGTAGGCCAGGGCCAGCTCTGCCCCCGAGTGCCTAGCTGGAGGGTTCTGGGCTGTGATGCCTGACTCCCGTAGACGCTGTCGCTCTGCTTTCTTCCGCTCCTTTTTCAGTTTCCTCTCTAGGACCCGCTTCTCCTCTGGGGACAGCTCGGTGTCCACATCCTGCACTGCTGTATGGGCCGCTCTTTCCTGGAAGTCAAAGGACACAGTTCTTATTAGGCTTCTGGGGCCAGATGAGGGTTCTCCAAAGGGTGTGCTACTCAGAGCTTCCCCAGCCCACCCTCACTCACAGTGGCTGAAAGCTCTGTCCCCACAGATGGCCCTCGGCACCACTTTGGTCAGGGCAGAGGGAGGGCTGTGAGGTTAACCCAGCCATTGTCCACATGCTTGGCCTTTCTTGGAAAAAGTCAGAACATTGCCATTTATCCTCAACCAGGCCAGGAGCAGCCCCTGGGAAATGTGGGGCAGGGTGAGGCCACCCTACCCACAGGGGCCCTCTCCCACCTCATCAGAGGGCCCTCCATAAAATGCCAACCAACCCCAGATGACCTCGGTGCTCCCATGCAACACAGGCTCCTTCCTGACCCTTCTTTTTTTTTTTTTTGTTGCAATCTGGCCGGGGCTGGGTTCAAACTCACCACCCTGGGTATATGGGGCCGGTGCCCTACTCACTGAGCCACAGGTGCTGCCCCACCTTCCTGACCCTTCTTAAACAAAAGAGCTGTTCCCTCCGGAAAGAGCTGGAACATAACAGTGGCAACTTCAGGGGCTATGCACACAGCTCTCACTGGTCTCATCACGAGGAAGAGACTAATAAGCACACAGACCACACAGGGTGCTTTGGGCTGCCAGCACCCTTGACACAGCAGTGATCAGACTCCAAGCTCTATACCCCCAAGGAGGGTAGGAGTGTGTGTAAATAGTGTATATGGGGTGCATCAGGCCCAGGTTAGGATTTCTGAGCCCTGCTAACTTTCTTGGGCTTCAGTTGCTTTGGCCTGAGCATGTCCAGCTGGCAGCCACAGCCCGGGGAAGCAAATAGACTGCTGCCACCCACAGACTAGGGGACGTTCTCCCTGGAGATATGGCGGTTCAGAGCCTTCCTTTTAACTGACAGGAACTGTCTCTATTTCATGCTGTGCTAGCCCTCTAAGGAGGTTTTAATTAGCAAATAACAGTTTTAACAAATAGTAGAACCTCTGTAAGTTGACCATCCAAGGGACTGTAACAAACTGGTTAACACACAGAGGTGGTCGACATAAGGAACTAGGCCTGCTATACTGATATGTACATGTGGTGCAAGTCTATAGTCTATGGAAATTAAGTCAACTTAAGGAAGTAGTCAGTGTAGGGAGGTGTTCAACTATGGAGGTTCTGCTGTACTTGCCACTATCACAAGTACCTCTCGAAGTTATTTCACTTCAAAGTTCCCCAAGGGCTCATAATTACCCTAACACCCCTCACATTTTTTTCTTTTTTTGGTGATAAGAGTCTCACTCTATTGCCCTGGGTAGAGTGCCATGGAGTTGTAGCTCATGGCAACCTCAAACCACTTGGTGAAAGCGATTCTCCTGCTTTAGTCTCCTAAGCACCTGGGACTACAGGTACTTGCCACCACATTGGCTAGTTTTTTTCTATTTTTAGTAGAGATGGGGTCTTGCTCTTACTTAGGCTGGTCTCAAACTCCTGAGCTTAAGTGATCTACCCGTCTGAGTACTAAGATTACAGGCATGAGCCCCCATGCCTGGCCATTCCTCAAATTTAAAGGAAAGTAAAAGTCAAATGAAAGCGCGAGAGAATTTCACATAGGTACTTACTTTCAGGGGAAGGTAAGGCCTAAGAGAGCAAACATTGGTTCCTATGACCACAGGGGCCTCCAGGAGTGGGAGAAGGCACAGCCCCAGCCACCCTGAAGCCCCAGCCTCCCCCCCAATACAGGCTGGAACCATTCTCCAAGGGAAGTGGGTGGGCAGCTCGGATCAAGATTCTCCCTCAAGGCTCGGCGCCTATAGCTCAACCGGCTAAGGTGCCAGCCATGTACACCTAAGGTGGCGGGTTCGAATCCCCAGCCCGGGCCCGCCAAACAACAATGACCGCTGCAACCAAAAAAAAAAAAAAAAAAAAGCCAGGCGTTGTGGCGGGCGCCTGTGGTCCCAGCTATTTGGGAGGCAGAGGCAGGAGACTCGCTTGAGCCCAGGAGTTGGAGGTTGCTGTGAGCTGTAATGCCACGGTACTCTACCCAGGAGGACAGCTTGAGGCTCTGTCTCAAAAAAAAAAAAAGATTCTCCCTCAACATCACTGCATTCCATAATTCAGATGAAATTGAGCCTACTTACAGCTTGGGGTCTTTAACCATCCGCAGTATAAGCACAAAACTTCAAAAAGTGTAATGCCTGCCTAATACTCTGGCATTTCAGATCTGA